TAATATATATATATATATATATATATATATATAATACGCAATACATTTCAGGCGCAGTTTGTAGAATTTTATATCTATTCATGAGTTATAACTTATTTAGGCAACTTGCGCATGGTTAATGGTCGGATTTAAAAAAACGGTTGATGAGAGGCAGGAAGTTAATTTTGGGAATGTCACCAATGTAAAATCGAACCAATTGTAATAAATTTGGCTTAAAAGACTTTTCCCGACTTCTTAATCTCCTCCGGGAACCTTGGCAGTGCATCATAAATGTTCACCATGAGAGAAACTGGTGAGCTCCGATTTATTAAGATTCTCTGTTCCTATCAGCTGGGAGTTATATAATCCATTAGAAGGGAATTGTTCCTGAAATATTTGCTCTATCATCATAGTTAATAAACTTCTGAAATTCGGGTGCCACAAATTTGATTCATTAAAACACAATACCGTGAACCACCCGAGAGGCAAACTGCCAGATAATCTGGAATTGCAAAATAAATTCTACGATTTTTTCTCGTGCTTTGACATCAATTTCTACTCCCCTTCGATCACTTTCCTTTAAACCCCAATTCGCTAGCCTCCGTATTTGGGTGCTTTCACACAAAAGTAATAATTAATTTGCTTTAGGTAACAAATGAATTACTTTTAGTGGGATAGCGAGATCTGGATAACCTGTCACTGGTCAGTTTGAAAGCAACAAATTGTTTGCCATCATTATTTTGCTTCATAATCGCGATGAACAGAGTGATTAAAAAGCAAATCACGATTGGAATAGATAAATTATTCATATATTGGTTGTTTTAATTGATTGTGAAATGGAATATGAGAGGAGATAAAAGATTTAATTTTTTGTGGTTTCGTTATACCTTGATTCGTGAACGACAAATCGTGGTGACCTTTGCACCGATCTGGACATGTCTCTTGCAGTGATGGTTTTATCATTTCTTCTGATCAACTTGTTGTTTAACCTTGTTGCGCTTCGTTGACTTAGTCCGTTAGTCCTCTAAATCCTGTAGCGTTTGCTTTGAAATCACATGGTTTGTCTAAATGATGAGACATCGTAACAATCTGGATGACAATTTTATTGTTTTATTTCTGCAACTGGTTTTACAAGTACATAGCAAAAGATCAGTTTTCTAATGAAAGAAAATATCAATTGCTAAGAGTAATGTGTTTAGCAAACTCGTTTACAGACACTTTTTATTTCTGGCTGAAATTTGAAAACGAATCCTTCCAGTTTACTGACATCAAAATGACCTGGCCGGGTTTAAAAATGAGCGAATAGTCTTTTTAACAAAAAAATACAGCTAATACTTAGAATCATGATGGAAACAACCTTTGTCTCCAACTACTTTCGAATCAAGTTTGCTTACGTATTATTAACTTACAGTTAAATTTGATACGGTATTAGAGAACAAATTTTAAAATTAATAATGCCTTGAACCTTGGGAATAAGTGTTAAAATGTAAATTTATCGGAGACTAAGTGCCCCAAAGCGTGCTCATCGCGATTTAATCGAGCTTAATAGCCAATGATGTGAGAAATCACCTATTATTTTCAGGATTTGAGGATCAAATTGCATTGTAGCATTTCAAATGCTGAAATGTATGGATGTCCTTTAAGAAAATAAAAATCGTGGCTCTTTTCAAGCGCTCTAATTACTGAATCTTTAACAGTGGTGAAAGTGTATGTTGATCATAATATCACAATCATTGAACACATTTATCAATAAATAAATTTCTTCACTACAGTTTCACTTTTATTTTTAAACCAAACTAAACACGCGAATGAAGTCAAAGGTAGGTAAATCGAATTTGACAGGAGACTTATTCGATTCAGACCATTCAAAGTTATTAATTTAAGTCTCTTCACATTTCACTGATCCGAAAGCGAATTGCTGTGTTCACCTGGGCTATTTAGTTGCCATTATGCGGATACATATAACCCAAAACCCTAGTTAAAATATTAGCAGATCAAATATTTAATAAACAATTAATCAACACAACTGTATTTAAAGGCTGGATGAGAAAGTAACTAAATCAATTGATGACTAGGAATGAGACATTAACAAGCCCGTTTTAAGTAGTGCTTTTTTGCAGCTGCCTGACGAAGTAAATCAGCCGCCTTCTCTTGAGTTAAGTCTCTTTGAAGCTCAGCTAGAAGCTCATATCCCACCATATGCTTCTTGACAGTAGCAGAACGTAACAAAGGTGGTAAATATATTCCATGCAGCTGCCAGTAAACCGCTTTCTCATGTCTCTGTAGTGGAGTCTGATACCAGCCAAATGAGTACGGAAAACTGGTCTCGAAAAGATTATCGTAAGCAACGAGAATTTTTGACATGGCATCGGCTAGGGTAGAGCATTCTTCCGGTGAAAGTTCATCCAAACGGCCAACATGGCGCTTTCGAGGAAGAATCATACTCTCGAAAGGCCAAGAAGCCCACCACGGAACTAGAACAACCCAATCGGAATTGGAAACGACGATACGCTCTTTAGCGGCGACTTCACGAGCAACGTAATCGAGGAGGAGTGGTCTTTTTTGTTGACGGAAGTAGTCATGTTGGCCAAGATCACTCCTCAAGGCTCGAGTTGGTATAAAATCGCTAGCCCAGACCTGAAATATGAAATAGTGGTACTACATTCAAATCAGTAGACGTGAATGATACATTTTAGTAAGTCGCTATATGGCATAAAGGACGAAATAAGATGATTCTTACCAAATAAATTAGGATCATTTTAGAGACAGAAAGTGATTATATTGGTTTCCGTTCATTCAACGATTCCTAACACAAACTTGATTGTTAATTAAGTTAGGTCGCTTTCTGAAAGATTGGATTGCCTTGGTTTTTTTCATGACAATTCTTGTCAATGTTTTATTTAACTGATGATGAACTTCTGCAATGATCTGCCACCAAATGAAGCAGCTACTTTTGAACGTACTAAAGTTCCAATAGCATGAAGCATTCTCACGCAGCATTTAAATGTCTGGAGACCTCTATAGGGAGCTACACCTCAATCACACTAAGTACCTATAGAGATATCGGTCACAACTAAACTTCTAGTCTTATGACATTTGGAAAGGTCGATCATCTACTAACTAATACTTTGGCTCGTGCATTGTATGAAAGCCTAAACCAAAAGGCGTGTGAATGAAGATCAAATATAAGCCAGTCCTTTACCTAAATCTTGATTGCCCTCTGTTCGTTATTACAAACCCTTAACGTAGTCCGACCGTAATCTCAATACACCACTTTGTTTTCTATAACTATTTCCGTAATTGCGATCTATTATGATTGCAAAACCTTTCAAAACAATTTTATACAAGCGCTGAAAGATGCTTTTGTCCACACACCGAAATCGGACACACCTTAATGTGAACTATGTAGAGACGCCTCGGTAATGACATAAACATCCTCCGACTTTGAAGGCTAACTAAACCTTTTACCAACTAGGTTGATAAGACCGTTTAACTAAGTCTTCCAGATTCTGAGAAATATTCCACTTGGTGCTGCATGAATATTCACCATAATATCACTGACACAGAGCCATTGAGAAACATTATCGATTGTACTGGTTAATAGAACTCAAGACACCAGTAGAAAGCGAGTTTCTTAATACAACTATTCCGGAAAAGTCCACCTTCAAAAAAGTTGAAATAGAAGCCCCTTGCTATTTCTGCTAAGATATATCTCTCTAGATGTTATGGGAATAATTCCACCTTTACTTTCATACTCATTTATGGGTGATTTGCTTATTCACCCTTACCTGACAATGTGGATGGGGATTGGAACATCCCACAATTTCTCCTCGGTTTTCGAAAATCTGAATCCACTGAAAACCGCGTTCAGCACACTGGGAAGTTAGGCGGCTCCATTCCCCTATGACCTTGGCAATCTCCTCGATATCCATGAGAGCGAGGGTTAGGTCAGGATGAGGATGAAAGCAAGTTACGTAGCATTCGCCAGTAGCAGGAGCCCATGCGAAGAGAGCATCAACTGATTTAGCCTTCTCCGCGTCTTCAGAAAAATCATGTGACTTCGCAGTTTCCACTCGGGCTGACTGTAAAGGAAGAGCCTTTAGTTGCAGATTTATGATTCCGATTCGGCTAGCTATTCTTGTGTGATCCTTGACCCAACTGATTTATGTCTGGCAGCCACATTAAGTGCACGCCCAGATGACAGGATTATAAGATTGGAAGCAGGATTTTGGAGGAAGTAGAAATACTCTTAGATGGGGATTCTGAATCACTTAACTTTCCACACGGGGAAACTAACTAAACTAAGCATTATTATATTCGAGCAACGTATACCCATACGGCAAAATAGTCTATTAACCGGCAGTTGACATCTGACTTCAAACTACCATAACCCAACCGGATGGCATATTCTACCACTTCCACAGTAATCATCCTACCTTTTCTCTGCCTTTGTGTCAGTCTCTTTTACAACTGTAAACCACTCTTCTGTTCCACATCCCTCGACTTTCTGTTACTTTGATGTTCCTTCCTCCTGTGAAGCCCGAGGTCAGCTAAAGGGCTAATGATAACTATCAAAACGCGGGGTGCGCGATAGACTTACCTCCTCGTGGTGCACCCTGGACAACGTATTTTCTTACGGCAAAAAAGTGTATCACTCGGCATTCATTTTTGACTTCGATTTATTATGATTAGATTTAATAAAGGCTATAAGAAAAATCGCCCTCGTCAGGGCGAATCACGACGTCTTCAGATCCTCCAGTGGAATGCTGGAGGAATGTTTCCGGACAAAAAGATCCAAGTACAGAAAATCCTACAAACCTATGATGTAGACATTTTCACAATTATGGAAGCAAACATTTCGGATGACAAACTGAAATACTACCAATTCCCAGGTTGCACCCTGTACAATCTACCTAAATACCGGCAAGTTGCAAGTGGAATTCTAACTGGAGTTAAAGAAGGCCTCACCTCACACTA